AGCATAGGCCTGGTAGGGCCGGAAAGGGGGAGGGGGGGGTGAACGAGCGAGCGCCCCCCGCCATACCAGGCCATATGCCCTTGGCACTGGAAGGGTGCTTTTCCAGGGTCGCCCCTGGAAAAGCACCTTGTCCCCATGCCGATGGGGACAAAGGCCTCTTCCCACAAGCCCTGGGCCGTTGGTTGTGGGGGTGCAGGCAGGGAGCTTATTCGCATTGGGGTACCCCTTTAATAAAGGGGCACCCAGATGCACCCTTTTCCCTTTGAATGAGTAAGGGGTAATTGTACCCCTACCCATTCACTAAAAGGTTAAATAAAAGATAAATAAAAAGTCGAGACTTTTAAGGAAAATCCTTTAATTGAAAAAAAAAAAAAAAACGGAAAAAAGGATCTTGACAAGTCCTTTATCTAGGTTTATATACCTCAATGGTGGACAGCAAAGTGGCCTTTTGGTTAGCACTTTGCAGCACTGGGGTGCTTTGTTTGAATCTTGGCTAAGACACTATCTGCATGGAGGTTCTCCATTAGCCTATGTGGGTTCCTCCAGGTACTCTGGTTTTCTCTCACACTCCAAACAAGTGGCTGTAAATTGGCTCTAGTATGTGTGTGCAAATTGGCTGTGCAGATGTGTTTTCACATTCTGCATGCCAGTCCCAAGCCTGTGCAAATGGGAGGGTTGGGGAAAGCCCTGGTGAAAAATCTTGCCAAAAATGTTCTATGGAAAAAAGGTTCTCAAGTGTATCAGGTATGTCACCCAAAGAACTGACCCATAGGACTGCAAGGAGCTGAATACGGTTCTACAGATCTCACACACACCTTGACAAAATATTGCTATGCACACAGATAATATCTGATCCTCTTTCCATACTAGGTCTGTTTGTATTCACAGTCCAGCACTGGCTATAGGGCATGGAGCACTTAGTTCGAATTCACATATACCATAGCATAGCACACATGAGCATTCTACGTGTCCCCTATTCAGAGACTGACCTGGAGCCACCAGCCAGTCGGTTTCCTCACAGTGATATTTATATTCTTGCTTAGCAGCAGGAAGCTGGGTTGGGGGAGTTATTGTTTTATTTCTGAGAATCTGGGGAATTTTGTTGTGATTGTATATTTAATGACTTGTGGAGCAGCTGGCTTATCAGAGCCGGATTCTGTAGGCCGTTCAACGTTTCTTTTGGCTGCCTGCAGGTTCTGGGGGCTCGGAGCGAAGTGCTCTGCTGATGTACAGCAGCTGGAAACGGTCTCCTGGCAGCTGTGTACTTGCTGCCGTTTTTCTCCACGTGGTCACAGATGTCTGTGTCTTTTTGGATCTCGGTCATCTCAAGAATTAGCGGTGTCACAAAACATATACTGCCATAAAGACGATCGGGCTGTCATTAGGGTCTCTAGAGCTATTTAATAACCAGGGTCAGTCTTTGCGCATACAGTTTCTGATCATTTATGTGACCTGTCATTCTCAGAATCTTTCCATGCGTACCTTGGGTACCTTCAGTAGGTTCAGAAGAACTCTGGCCAATTAAAGGACTGCTATAGTTAAAACTAAATTGGAGGCAAACAGCTAAATATGCGGATGATCTACATATAGCTGAGTTGTTTTACCGGCCAGAGGATTTTTATTTGTGTCTATCCAGCCCTGAGATTTACACAGCAGTGCCACAAACACAGCCCTGCCTATCAGGACAGGAGACCTGTATTTTCTCTGTTGCAGTTTAGTTGCACTTACATGTCTCCTCCCCACCCCCAGCCTGTGTCTGAACAGGAAATAGAAAACAGCAGAGGACTGAGCTCATCTCTCTGTCACTCTGCTATATCCTCCTATATGCATTTTACTTGCACTGTAGCGCAAATGACTTGCTTCTTGCACTGCTTCTACCTCTACCAGTCTGATCTCTGTAGTGGAGGGCTGCATGAGACTAATGCCAGGTACTTACACTGCTTGCAATTATATATATATAGATATATATATATCTATATATATATATCTATAT